CTATAATTCCTGGGGTAGCATTACAACTACAGTTCTTCTACAGGAAATGTAAATACATGATCACTTCTACCTTTCTCGTCTCCCCAGCCAGTGACAAAGCAGGGTGTCCCAGCAGGCATCACGGTCCCAGGTTTGGGCAGACAGATGGGGCTGATCTCCCTCGTCATATTGACAGGCTTGGTCAAATGCACCAGGGCTATGTCATTGGTGATGTCACTGGGATCCTGCTCGTAGACGAACCCCTTGTGGCGGATGATACCATCCACCTTATAGCATTCCTCCGCTGAGGGAACATCCATGGAAGAGTTCATGTGGTGCTTCCCCAAACACATGCGCCAGTAGGAGGGTTTATTCAGTGGACTGGAAAGCAGGAAGAAGATTGAAGGTGAAAATTAGAAACCTGTTTTACTTTTCCATTTGGCTGAAACTTGTTGTAAAGCTACATAAAGCCAAGGAGAGCTGCAGATTCGGGTGATAATTCTCTGTTGGTTCATTACTATGAGCAACCCCTTTCACATTGTTTTTCACTTTATCAGTTGATACATTGTTACGCTAAAATGTTGTTAAAGAACTCTGAGCTTTAAAAACTGCATGTGCTGTAGGTTTTTCTGTAGTTGTATCTTACGCCATGAAACAGTGAGCCGCAGTTAGGATCCATTCTTCATGAATCAAAGAGCCTCCGCAACCATGCATGTAAGGTATGGGAAAAAATGGTGAAGCCTGGGGAAGAGAAACAAACGTGTTCAAAATAAAAGTTTGTCTCTATGACTGTTAATCAGGCATGTAGACAAACAGGAGCTGACTCTACCTGCATGGAGACTTGCCAGGGCCAGGAATGGGGTATCGCCTCTTGCCCATTAACCACCCTCGGAGTGGCCGTATTGGGTGTCACTTCTGGTTTTCCACAATCTACTGGCCAGTCTGGGGAAAGAAACAGACTCAATTAAAACTTTAAAATTTAGAAATCAGGTGATCTTCCTGCAGTTGCTCTATCTGAGGGGAGCAAAACCATTTAAAGGTCTAGTTTTTTTTGTTAATCACATCAGAGACAGGACTGCTACGAGTTTGGCTAGGCCTGCACTCACCGATAGTGACTTTGTCCCATGGGTTAGGAGGTGGAGGAGGTAAAGTTGGGACAACACTGGTATCAGTGGTCCAGTAACCCCGAAAACCGCTCTGATGATTGTTTCCGTTACTAAGGAAACGAATGACAACTGTGTTGCCAGGGACAGTGATGGTGGGTGGAGGGGCAAAGCCACAGAATTTACCTGCAGAACAGACAAGACATAAAAGATGTTTATACTAATAACACTGACTGTACAGGAAATACATAAAAAAAATGTATACGAATTTTCAGTACAGTAACCAACCTAGTGATGCCATGCTTTCTCCACCGAAGATCTCCACGTAGTCCACGCAGTTTCCTAACATGTTTATAGCTTGTAATTCAAAGTGGGTGAAGACTATATGGACACTTTTTGCTAAAGGGATGGAGATACGCCATGTGCACACAGACTGGGCTTGGTAGTCATTGGGCCAGTTAGGAGAGGTGATTTCACCCTGATTACTGCTGAAGCTCCCTCCACAAGGAGCTGTGTGTGTGTGTGTGTGTGTAGACAATAGGGGGGAGAGAGAGAGAGAGAGAGGAAAGGAAAACAAACAAGAAAAACAGACAATGAGATACTTTAGTTTTATTTGACAGCTATTCCCTCCATGGCTTGTCAGGTTCGCTTTTCTCCTGTCTTACCCTCTGTAGGGTCCACTGCCCTCCAGGTGGCAGTGAAGCCTGTGTCCACCACCCTGTCATTGGAGGTGAAGCTGATACGAAGTATGTTTCCATCGCTCACCAGGTCTTTAGGATGTACGTGGCTGCAATGTGTGCCTGAAGAAAATGAACATGAGGAGGTGTTAGTCTTACTTTTTCTCAGGAACCTCTATTCCTTCTCTATTTCCTCTAAGAGCTTTTGTATGATGTTATACTGACACCTTTATTGCTCACTTATTGCTTCATTGTGTCCTGATTTTGGAGTCAATTAGTTTAAATCGACTGAACAACAGCTGAGCCTGTGGGTACTGCTAGTTGTAGTAGTAGTCTAGCTCCTTCACACGTCTCTGTTTTTGTTTTAATCTGTTTTCGGCTTTATTGCTGGAGGACATATTACCTCTAATAGAAATAGCCTACAGTCATCAGAAGTGTGGGGTTTGGGTTAAAGAGCAGCAGACTTTGAGATGACAGACACAGTCGGATTGGTCGGAACAGCCCACCACAGTCTGTGTTGTTGATCCGGGAAGAGAGGGAAGAGAGCCGTGCTGGCCCAGCTTGAAATAAAAGGCTGTTCCTAGCTAATGTCCGGTCTGGAGGAAATGGGACTCAGGCTCAACGGGAAATCAGAGACTGCCAACATCTTCACAAACACACACACAAGTTCTGAGCTGACGGAGCGCAGGAAGAGAGGAGGCAGACTCTGTGTTTATGAGTTTATGCATCAATGTTTTTCTGTTTTGTAATTTTTGCTTTATAATTTTTAATATTGTAAATTTATTTTTCACACATTGACTTAAAATATATATAGAATACATTTTTTAGAATTAAATTAGTATAATCTTGACATTAAATGCAGAATTTAAGCATTATTTGTGAAGATGTAGATTTATCATTTGTGGATTCCTTCTCTAATTTGTGTATGTGTGATGTGTAATGTTTTGTATTTTGACTCATATCCTGTATTTTGTTGTTGTTGTCAATTTCCCTGATTTGAATCACCTGTCAGAGTTACTATGAATGCCAGTCAGTTTTTATCCTGAAGAAGGGAGTTTGCCAAAATCTTTATAAGTTGAAATAAGTAATTGCATTGAAGTTACGAGTGTGCGACTACTGTGGCATGTCATTCAGGCATACTAATAGAGTTCAGTAACTATGCAGTGTAATATAAAGCAAAGTAATCACATGACTCAGCAAATTCCTTATTAGCTGGAGAGAAAAAGCAGACAGATATTCACATACCTAGAGTTCCTATTCTATCAGTGAGCATGACTTTGTCATTCATGCACAGCTGACTTTCCTCCAGGGAGAAATTCTGGAAATGGAGGTGGACCAATTTGCCAGGGGCCACCTGGATGTTCCACTGGCATCTGGCTTTGTTGTTGTAGCTGCCAGGGTAACCCATAGTGGACAGTGTGCCTCCTGCGCCAGTCAAGTCCTTTGCCCCTCCACAGCCAGATGCTACACAGGGGAGGACAGAAGGTGAAAACCAGCGGTAAATTCTTTGTACCATATTTAGTTTTTGAGCAAAGTGGGTCAGGTTAGACCAGCTGGATTCTTACTGTGCTCATTGTAGATGTCCCTGCGGATGACATTTTTGATCCAAGGGATGTAGGCAGAGGAACGGGTGAACACGGAGGGCTTCTTATTCATAATGCATCCGATAGGGCCAAAGCTGGTTATACCATGAACTTCCCAAGGACCACCAGGGGTATCCTGGCACACCAGAGGACCACCTGAATCTCCCTGTCAGAGTCACAAATCAAAATCGGCATGTAGTTAAATACCATCTGTTAGATGTGTAAAAGCATCCCACTGATGATCAGAATGGTGACCAATGGTCATGTATTAGTGCTGTATTCTTGTTGGTCTTGTTTTACCTGACAGACAGACTTGAGCTCATCAGGCAGGGTATAACCACAGCAGATCATGGAGGTCTTGACCTGAAACCACCAGTAATCCATCCTCTTGCAGGTGTCAAAAGGCACAACAGGCAGTGCGACCTGGTTAAGGGCCTCTGCGACTTTAGCATTCATCGAATCACCTGAAAAAGACAATTTAGATTGTTACAAAAACCTTCAGCTTGTCATTCTGAGGACCATAAACACAGGAGGTATTTGCACATTATGTCCAGCAGAGGGCATGCAAACTATGCAACAATGAATTTGTGACTAATGAGGGGTGAGTGTCTCTTGAGCTGAGCTTTTTTTTTTATTGCGTTGAGTTGATTTTATTTGAGTGAATAAAATAACCAGTTTATTGTAGTTTAAGGTGAGACTAGAGTTTATAGAGTATAAACTACAGTACCGGTCTCATCTCCCCAGCCGGTGGCGTAGCACTTCTTGCCCCCAAGTAGCACTTCCTCCTCGGACGGAAGGCAGGCAAACGAGATCTCATTGCTGGGTATCACCTCTCTGTCCAGTCTGACCAGGGCAATGTCAAACTCCACTGTGGGCACTGTGGGATACTTGAATCCCTCATGACGATAGATACCAGTCACACTGAAGCAGCGTTCACTCGGCTCTGTGTAAGTCAGGTTGTGTTTGCCAAGGCACATGCGCCAACGCTGCAGCTCATCAGCATATCTGGGCAGCAGATCAGCAGATGAATCAATAATAATACCTCATAGTTTACTGTAAACACACAGTAGACAGGCCGAGATACATGTCACTGTCACTGCACCGTATAACTGTGGGAATTCTAGTTGTACAAAAACAAATACATCTGTATTGAACAGAATATTCTGAGCTGAGCACCACTATTCCTCTGTGGCACATAACCTTGTATACATCCTGCACAAGCTCAAAGCAAAGAGAAAAAAACTATACTGTATAGCACACAGATCTCCTCAGTGCACCAGCAGCTCTCTCTAAAGGGCACTGTAGACCATTAGCCAAGGCGCTGAGGCATCTCTAACAAGGCATTGCTCTGCCTGAGGTAAAAGCACAGTCACCAATGACTGCCTTCTTAGGTTAAGAAAATGGGCTTCCAGAAAGTCTGAGAAAACTTTGGCATTAAAAAAACAACTTTATATATTTATATTTTTCTCATACATGTACTGTATGTGAGAATGATGAAAGAGAACATTTACCTAATGAAGCAGTGAGCTGCTGTAAGTACCCAGTTCTTATGAATAAGAGTGCCACCACAGGTATGGAAGAATGTAGGTTCTGGACGACTTTCCGGCCAGACCTAAAACAAACAAACACAGACAAGCAGAGCAGGCTTTAAAGATATTTACATACAAACGGAATACACATTTTAAAGTATATATCCATGCAGTCAGTCAATGAGATATATAACTCATAACATGAGAAAGGAGAGTTGTATTTTTATGTGAATTCACTACATTTATTAGAGGAGTGAGTCTCTCACCTGCATGGACACCTGCCAGGGCCAGGAGTGTGGCTTGGCTGCCTCTCCGTTCACTATGCGTGACACAACAACCGGAGGAATGGCTGGTTTCCCACATGTACTGGGCCAGTCTAGAGAATGAGAAGAAAACCATTTTAATATATCCTGTGTCTGGTTGTCTGTGCCAGTATGAATTTGTCTGTGTATAAACAAAACCTGAACATAGAGTACATATCTGCAGCTAACAGATAAGCCTGTGTGTTGCAGAGAAGTGGCTTTCAATCACTGGTGCTAAGGCTTTAATTTTTTTTAAATAATTCTCCAATCACATCAGGTTGACACTGTTGGCTGCAGTGAACTATGTTTCTCTGTTTTTGGCTTTCACTTATGTAGTCTGCAGTAATGTATTCAGTGTATCTTCATGCATACATAATACCATGCACACACACAATGGGTCCTGGCTCCTTAACATCACAACATCAATATGCATAAAGATTTAAATTTCTTTTGGTCGTCCAAGGAGTTTACATGAAATTGTCCCAGTCACTCCTGTCCCCTTCTCTCTCTCCTTCCTTTACCCAACACATAGGACACCTCTGGTCACAGCCTGGGTGGAAAAAAAAACCCAGAGGCAGCAGAGTCCATCTATAAAACTCTATTTCAGCAATTGGCTTGGCAGGAGCCTGGGCCACCTGGGGCTCATCGCTGGGTGAAGAATGAGGGTCGGGTGACAGCCAGCTAGGAAGGAAAGTGAAGCACTAGACCACTTCACGTTGTGTTCTCAGCACCATCATATCACCTTGTTTTACTGCACATCCAGGCACAGCCAGGAGGAGATGGAGAGGAGGGTGTGAAGAAGGGGTGAGGATGGGAGGAAGCATGAATCAGATGAATTTAAGGCAGGCCTCTGTGCAGCTTCTAAGGAGCTGTTTGAAACTAAATGTTGGTCATTGTGACTTGTGACAGGAAAATACTACTCTGCTAACCCGAAGGCAATCTATAATATAGCTGGAGAGATGTGTAAATTAAGAAACCCCAAATATCAAAAGGCTACATCATAGATAGAATACAATATTTCACATTTGGTGCATAAAATACATGCAGTTACTGTAAATCTGGTTATCTTTGGGGCTGCAGCTAACTATTATTTTCAATATCAGTTACTCTGTTGACTATTTTCTGTTAATACATTTAGTTTACAGTGATTATACAACAGAGAAAAGTATGAAATCATTACATTTTAAAAGGAACTAGATTTGTTTAAGCTGCATTGTCATCTAATAACTATTGAATTGATAATTAAGATAGAACAGCACTTAATGTTAAAGCTGCATTACTTGTTTTTTTTTTGGCTACTTGGGGGCAATGTTACAAGCTTAAAACATAATATGTCGTTTATATTATTGCTTTATTAATTTGTTATTGCAATGTGTAAGTGAACAATTGCCTATTTACACGTATAGTTGACCAACATTAACTTTCATTTTGAATTGTGTGTATGTCCAATGTTCACTCTCCTTTAAGCTCTGTTTTGTTATGCAAGCAAAGTATTCTCTTTGGGCTCATCACTAAGATCAACTCCTTTCACTTTATACATCATTAATTGACCAATCGTTAACATAAAAAAATACATATTAGTGTAGACTTAATTTTACTTTTAACATTGCAGTATAATGAAGATGTTAGCAAACTCAGGCCCATATAGATACTCCACCTATAGTGATGTTGTCCCAGGGGTTTGGCTGAACAGGCGGCTCAGTGGGAGCAGGCAGACTGGGGTTTGTTGTCCAGTAGGCCCTGAAGCCTTTGGCCTCGGTAAACAAGTCTGTATGGAAACGAATCACAAGCCTTGTGCCTTTTGTCTGGATGGTAAGAGGCAGCTTAGTCCCACAAAATGGACCTGAAATATATTGAAAGAACAATGTGTCCATTATAAACAAAGTGACACAGAGGCTATACAAGTAGAGGTAACAATAACAGATAGATACACTGTTTTATTAATAAGAAAAGCTTGGTTTTGTTTTAGATTTTCAAGATTTTGTGATTGACTATCATGACAAATATTAATAGTTTTGGTTTTCATGTTGTAACTCCACAAACCAACTTACCGTGCTTCTGAATCAGCGCATTAGTCACACTATTGATGTCATACACCATTATGTTGTCATAGCATTTGGATGTTAAAATATCTTTGGCTTCTAGGTCAAAGTGGGTGAACGTCAGTGTGATTTTTTTCCCCACAGGCAAAGCGATGTTCCACATGCACTCAGTGTTAGCCTTGTAGTTCATAGGCCAATTTAGGGACTTGATAACCCCGGTTTCCTCTTTGGAAGAAAAGCCACAGCCCTGGATTTCTGAAACAGGAAGAGGGAGTCATCAAGAAACTGTATGAGATACATGATTGTAATTAGATAAGTGAAGACGAGCTACAGTATCTGCCTGTGGAGTAAATATACAGTCTCATCATGACAAAATGTAAACATCCTAAAGTAGAAGCTTTAACTCTTTGCTCCAATTTTACTCATTTAGTTGGTGCTTATATTTCTGGACAATGATGGAAAGTAACTAATTACATTTACTCAAGAATAGTGTTCATGTATTTGTACCTTAACTGAGTAATATTCAATTTTATGCTAGTGCTATGCTATTTATGCTTTCTTCATTAGGTCCCCCATTCATTAGTAGGGAAATTTTAAACTGTATACTTTTTTAATTGAATTTCTATGTTAAAAATGTTACCACTTGGCTAATAATATGTATATTGTTGTACATTAGACTATACAACTGTGTACAATAGTTGAAAATTAGCTGCATTGTGACCATCTACAAAGTGATACACGATAATGCATGTAACGTTTATTAAAACACTTTTAATGCACAACCACATTTTGCTGATAATTGTTATGTCTATTTAGGTAAAAAAATACGTATTTCTACATTGCTGTATTGCTAAAGCACTTTCACCACCACTGCACGTGGGGTTTCACATCATTTTCGTGCCTGATAATCACGATAAAGAAAAAGATAAAGAAGTTTTATCTTGTGTTTTATGATTCACACTGTACTCTGACCTGTTCTTTGATAGAGTTCACGCTGGTTATGACTTTGCTGATCTTTTTTTAAATTTGCGACAGAGGAGTGAGATGTTATATGGTTAGTCGTAATGAGGTGTTGAGCTGCCTCAGCAATGTGTGCCTCAGGTGCGAGTGTGTTCCTGTGTGTCTCTCCTTTTGTGTGTGTGTGTGTGTGTGTTGTGCGTGAGTGCGCGTGTGTGTCCTCGGTACCTGTGATATCCTCAGGATACACAGCCTCCCACTTGGCAGAGAATCCTCGGTCTGTGAGGCGACTGTCGGACTGGAAGGTGACAGATATTGTGTCACTGGCACTGACCACCACAGGGGGAATGATGTAGCCACAGTGTGTACCTGAGGAAGAGAAAGAGGAAGGACAGAGGTAAAAGATGGAGGTAAATGAAGAGAGTAGGGTCAGGAATGGAAGGAGGAAGAGTAGTAAATACTGTATGTGCTTGCTAGTGTGAGTGTGTTGTGTTGTTTGTGGTTGATGGATGGGAGTGCTGAAGCACCAACAATTGGAGGTGACTTTAGTGTCTGTGAGTGTTCTTCGTCACCTACTGAACACAAAATCAGGTGAAAAATGTAACACTGTTCCTACCAAGGACACAAAAGCACAAAAGATAACACAAATTGGCAATATTGGCTTTTTGATACACGATGGTATTAAAATGCAAGATCAATTGAGCCCAAATGTTTTCCATGGAGGTCCAAAACTGAAAATGAATGGGGGGCCACAGGCTAAAAGCATACACGTATTGTACTGTTTGATGCAAAATGGTACTAGGATCCCAAGTTCCCTTAACTGACTAGCTTCCTGCGTATAGTGTCATTCTGGTCATGCTCAGATTATGAAATATCATGAATATCATGAGTGAACTTAAATATACAATAGACAAAGACTAACATGGGTGTCTCACTGGAGATCTTTACACCACCGGCCAAACCTGAGTCCAATATTCTCTTGCCCTTTTTGTCTTCCTGAGAAAAAAAAAGTCAATAAATCAACATGGTGAACCAGAATGAGCTGGAAGAGAATCTGCAGATTTATGTGTTGATTCCCAGTGTGATCTACAGTAATAGCACTACAGCCTTTTCCCCCTTATAGGGAGTCATTAAGGCTATGACACTTTTCCCAAAGAGCAGTTACTGTGGCCACAAGTGGCAATTACAGAAACATGTTGACTGCTAAAATGTTTTAAACTGTATGAGAAAAGTCTGTAAACTGAATCTAAAGTCACTTACATCACAATATCTATCTAAAGTCAGCCAAAATGAGGTTAACATTAGCCAGTATAAGCTCCTGGCCATAGTAGACCAAGTAAGGCTGTAGCAGCAAAATCATGTAGTGTATTGATATGAACCATGATGTATTTTATTGCTTATGAATTTAGTAAAAGGGAATTTTGTAAAAGGAATATTGTGTTATTTATTTCTTTTTTTTTTATAACTTATGTCTTCTTGTGTTAAACAATCTTTGAAGCTAATCATTTTTCAGACTCCTCAGCTTTTCAAAGCTATGGCTGCTTCCTCTGATTTGTGCTTTTTCATTTAATTCCACAAACACATACCCCTTAAAATAACAGGACACACCAGCACTAACACCCTCTCATCACGTACTATCTATGTGTGTTTCACAGAGAGCGTGTGCTTGTACCTCAGCGCTTTAGTCCTTGAGAACTCAGCAATAGATAAAGCTGTATCAGCCTCACTGCAGCCACTGAAGTGAATAATAAGGAGAGGTAATTTATAGTTTGCTGGGCTCTTTGTAAAGAAGATCCTAATCAACGGTTTTACAACAGGGGACAGATATTGAGCTTTACTGTAGTACTAGAACTGTTAGTCTAGCAAGGTGCAACAAACACAAGCCAAAGTCCTCATATTTAATGAGGTTATATCCTAAGCTTGCTTGCTCTGCTTGTCTTGGTGCTTGACCACCCTAATTTGAAAAGCAAGAAAAAGGGCTGCTTTTCAGTCTTCACAGCAATGGCCCGAAAAAGATGATCTGAGATGCATTTTGATATCAAACAATAAGTTTAAGCCACACAAATATGCACAATGTCCAACTTGTCAAACTTAAATGTAAAAGAAAAGACTAGATTAAGTTATGGCTCACCTAGTGTGCTGTACATATCTGAGATGATCAGTTTGTCCTCCTTGCATTGTCCAGTCTCTCCTGTGATGGCCATTTCAGTGATCTGCAGTTTAACCAGGAATCCTTTGGGCACAGATATCTTCCAGGAGCTATTGAGATGAGCAGGATATGGATTTGGGAAACCCAAGGACTGGATCGCTCCTTTACGTCCATTGAGGATTACTGGACCACCGCTTCCTGCCCAATAACAGTACAGGAAGTCATGTTGAAAGCAATATTTTAGCGTATTCACACCTCATTATGTACATAACTGTTTTTAGCCGAAGAAAACCTGGGCCAAAAGGTGGATTTTCTGTATGTCTGTACTCCATTTAATAGAGTTTATTCTCTTCCTTTTTTTAATTGATGAGAACCAGCTAGCTTTGATACAAAACTGCCCCATGAACAGGTTCATTATTTAGTACCTTAATTGGTCACTGGAGAGAACGGGTCTGTGTCTGCCAATAGCTTTAATACAGTGATGAACAGATAAACCTCAAGGGGGATCTCCCCACTCCTACGCACAACGCTACTTGCATTCATCCTTATTTGGTAGCTGTCACTTTGAGCTGTGTTTGTGCAGGGAAAACTGTACAGGGAGGCATAACATTTGTGTAATGTGTATCAACAAGCTCTTATTGGTCAGTAAACAACTCTTATAGACCATGTGAGCACATAGATAATGGTATTATAGCTGTGCATCACTTTCAAGAGATAACTGAGGACAGTTTAGCAGTCTGATAAAATAGCTCTGATGTCAGCTAAAAAAATGAGGGCTGTGATGGACAATTGTCTTGGGAAGCTGGTTCAGAAACATCAATTTTAATGGTAGTATTTGGTAGTGAGGAAATATATTTAATCTGAAATCAAAATAGAGACATGCAAAGAAGATTAGGTTGTCTCAAAAAGTAATTTGAACCAATCGTGTACAAGTGGGAAAATTAAACAGAAAAGCTGATTTGAAACAGTGGTTGTCTTCACAGGGGTCACAAACCCTTCATAATTTTAAGGGATGTAAGAAAACTTTATCTCAGCTCATCTCAGGCACAAAAATTTATCCAAATTGCTTGTTTAACACAAACTTCCTGAAGTTATTGAGTTCACTATTTGAGTAAATTGTAGAAAATATCAGTTGTTATGTACTGTTATTGTTATACACTGAATATAATAAGAAAGATCAATGAAATCACTTGGTCAGGGGTAGTTAGTTTACTAAGTAATAGAAAAGGGGCCCCTCCAGGAAAAAAGGTTGGGGACCACTGACTTGTAGAGAATGCTTACCTGATGTGGGAGATGGAGAGGTTTGTGTGGTGGGTCTAGGTGTGGTCGTGGGTTTCGCTGTGGTGGGAACAACAACAGGTGGAAGGCTGGACTTTGTGTAAGTTGCTTTGAATCCTTTAGAAGTCAAAGTGTTGTCTGATTTGAAGCGCACCACCATTGTATTGCCAGTGGACTCGATTGGCTTTGGCATCGTCCCACCACAGAATTTCCCTTTGAAGGATTATAGTCAGTGTTAAAAAGTGAAAAACAATAACAGAGACTCCAGTTTAGGCAATTGACAATTAATCAATGCTGCTTTAACAATGAAGTCTATGCAGACAGACTTACAGTCATTAATTTCAAAATAGACTCCAGAATCTCTGTCCATTGTACAACTTCTCAAACTTTTAATTGAGCTAATCTTTTATTCATGGAACCACATAGTTGACATTGCTAATGTAGAACAAAGCCCACAGTCTATTCTGAAATTCTAACATACCCCTTTGCCTTATTATCACACATCCAGCTTTGAAATAATCTGTGCCGAATATTGTGGTATATTTTTAAAACCCCTGTTAATCTCATACATTAATAGCACATTTTCTTTTCCTCTTGTATTCATCACTGTATACTGGAAGCATGTATAATGTCATGCTTACCTATTGAAGAAGAGCCAGCCGTGTCGCCATCATAGACCTGAACAAAGTCTCCACAGACCTCAGGGACCAGGTCAAAGGAAGTAAATGTCAGACGAACCCTCTCGCCTTCAGGCACTGTGATTCTCCACTGATCCAACATAGAAATAAAGTACACACACACAAACACAGCACACGTTTGTACCTGTATAGACTGATATGCCCAATAATTTCCCCTTTAAAATGCATTTAATTAAAAAAAACAAAAAAAACACAAAGAGTGCAAATTACTACACCCACCATGGGTTTATAACAAATGATTCAGCAGAGCTGCAGTTTGACACACATTTACTCATAACTAATTTTATCACTGATTCTGCTCCTGTTTGGACAGGTGGTGACCTGTCAAGCTCAAGCACAGCAAGATGAAATCATGTTGACAGCCAAATAACACCATATGACTCCACGTCCAAACCTTGCACGCAAACCATGACATTAAAATTGCCGCTGATTTAATTAGATGCATTAATCACAGATCAAGACCACAAATGCTGTCAACGTGTCTGCGTTGAAATCCATAGCTAATGGATTTATTTTGAGATGCTAATCTGAAATCTTAAGGTTTATAACCACATGGTAATGAACACTAACACACTGTGTACGACACTATGGTAAATGAAATATTCCGTCCATCTTCCTATTGAGTTGCAGTTAATTTACACAATCTCTAGAAATAAAGAAGAAAAAAAACCTGTGTAACTCATTTATTTCTCTCTCTAAACCAATACTCTTTTGAGATCAGTAGTTTGCATAGATTGACGTATTAAGTGACAGCAGCTTAAACCTTAATTCTCCTCATCAATGTACTTTAAAGGCACAATCCAAATGTGAACAAATAGGTAGCACATTACTTACTGCTACTAGATTATTTTCAACTTGTGACCATCGACTTATCTTTTAATCCAAACACTACTTTAATGTTTTCACATACTGTAAATAAGGAAATAGATTACATATATTGCTATTAATTAAATTCACAGGGAGCTATAAAGGCCCTTAAAACATATTTTAATCAGCTTCTTTATATTAGCAATGTCTGCTATGTGTGCATATTAAGTAAAAAGCAAGAGCCAGGAGGCGATTAGCTTATTAGCATAAAGACCAGAATCATGGGGAAACTTTCTGGGTCTATCCAAAATGTAAAAATCAGACTACCAGGACTTATAGCATTCAAGCTAGAGGCACTAATTTCAGAGTCTGCACTGCGAGTCTGCACTGCGCGGGGTCATCCCTATGTTCCCCTGCACGCATTAGGCCTGTTACAGGGTTGTTAGCCCTGCTGCTAGCCTTTCTTGAAATGGCCTAAATTGTTTGTAGGAGTTCAAGAACAAGCATATAGCTGCTTTTAATTTACTTGAATCAATTGTATTAGTGTTAATATTGGATTTTATTCAGCTATAACTGCCAGCAATAGGATTAATTTGATTGTGAGCTACTTAACTTCAGGAAGTTGTACGCGCCTGGCTGTTGTTTGCTTAGTCAGCATTATTGCACGTAACACCTTCTATAACCATGAATTGTTGTTCTCACATTACTGTTTTTGTTTGAACTAAATAAACAAGATAAAACTCTTTTTGTGAGCTTTAGAGATACTGGTAGATGTTTTTTGTTTTTTTTACTTTGGAGAGAGCCAGGCTAGCCCCCAATCTTGTCATCTATAGCATAACTGAGGTTAAAAATGAGTACATGTTTTTTTATCTGCTGACATCAAGCAGACATAGAGCAATTGTATCATTTGCAGACGTGTTTCTGATGACCTGAGAAAGATGAGTAAGTAAGATTCACTCTCCCTTTAGCTGTGGTGTTAGACTCCTCTAACTCCTGAGGCAATTATCAGACTATTTAAAGGCTAAATGCTCCATGTTGTCTGTCTGACCTTTGGTGCTTGACAGCTAGGCTAGCACAGTGGTTCTCAAGCTGGGGGTCACGACGTGAGATAATTTCCAGGGGGATCTCCAAATGGTTGTGGAGAGTAAAATAAAATAACATATTTTGGCAAACAGCATGGAATGAGAGACAGGAAGCAGTTCTCAGCAATGTCAGCTCAAACAGTCAGGAACCTGAGTGGGTTGATAATTCTCTGTGGGCTTGTCACTATGATCAACTCACTCATGTATTTATGTGATCCATTGTAATATTAAAATATCAACTATAACAGCTTTAAAAGTAAAATAGTGAACTAGTAGAGTATAATATATATTATATATATAGTTAAATATTTATTTCCTGTCTGTCGCAGAGTGCACACTGAGCTATATGATGTACTACAACATAACATCCCCAGGTAAAGGTCAGCAGTGCTTTCTCAGATGTAAAAAAAATAAATAAAATAAAATAACTCAGTGTAAGTAAATGTTACCATGTAGCTGTCACATTTGAGCTTTTATTGTCTCCTTGTTTGTGTGTGTGGCAGTACCTGGTATAGTGCTCCATTTGGGTAGTTCTGCTCAGGGAAGCTGGGGGTCATCATATCCCCCTGGTCACCTTGAAAAAAGCCACCAGCTCCGGCTATTTCTGGCAGCAGGGATGAAAGGGAGGGCACTTTAGCTCCACATATACCTCAAGGATACCCCTCCACCCCCACATATCTACTCCATTTTCATTCCCCTTCTCCTACCCCTCTCTTCACCCAGCACCCATCCCTACAACATTCACTTTCTAGGTCAATCATACACTGTAAGACAGACATCCAACATTATGCCGGAGTCAAGGCAATTTTCTTGCTGAAATGGATTTCCACTCATCTTCTTACCTGATGCGAGCTCTGGAGCCACAGCCCTGTAATGAGCCTTGAATCCTTGGTCTGTTTTTCTGTCATTGGTGTCGAAGTACACCGTCAGGCGGTTTGTAAGGGACACTACTGGCTTCGGTTTGGTGTAGCCACAGTATTTACCTACAAATACCACACAAGTTATGTAGAAAGAGACAGTAGGCCTACATTTGCTCATCTGCAATGAAAGGAAGGGTTAATTGTCGAAGCAAAATATCACATGAAGATCGCAAAGAGGCACAAAATGAGCACAAAGTGATGCAAAAGGACCACATAATGATACAGATCAACTACAAAAAGAAAATGACCAGAAAAGGTTTTATGTTTCTTACAGTCTTAACACATTATTTTCTCATTTTATTAAAAAATGTGGTTTATTTGCCCCTTAAGAACTAAGAGAGAACAGAAACCAAAGATGTCTGCGAACCAAATACACAGCTCTAACCTCTGCAGTCTGTTTGCAGAACTAGAGGTGGAGAGTGTGTAACTGTAAGTAAAACAGTGTGCAGTGGAGCAGCAGGAGTGTGCTCATGGATGCATGGACTGGTTTGGGCACGACATCAAAGCTGCCACTGCAGGCTGAGGGAGCTTATCTATCTATCTATCTATCTATCTGTCTATCTGTCTATCTTTATCTATTCTATCATCTATCATCGTATTCTAAATCTATCTATCTATCTAATTCTAATTTCATTCTGTCTGGCTGTCTAGCTATCTAGCTATTGTCGATCTAACCAAGGAAAAAGTAAAATTAAAAATCAGCTCCTTATATCTCCCTTTTCCCCTTAGGTTGGAATTAATGTGAGGATTTACCAATGGTTCCCAGAGAGTCTCGCAGTGTGACAAAGTCTCCTGTGCAGAGCTGGGTGGCCTCCAAAGCAAACTCCTCAAACCACAGATGGATCACCTGCAACAGAGACATGCAGAGGTGTTTCATCTTTCTTTTTTTTTTCAGTCTGAGAAGCTGATGGGAGACGGGCTGCTGACAGGGAAGGCAACAGAGGCTCAGCGTGAAATACAAGTGCGTTAGTACAGTTGTGAGAGCATGTGCAACTGTGTCTGTGTGAGTGTACGTATTCAAGCGCGTGCCTCTGTGTGCGTGTTTAAAGATAGCAGAAGGAAGATAGAGACACAAGGAGACAAAGAGAAGAGCAGGATCAGGCAGACAGGAAGGCAGCCATGCTCACAGGGAAAGAAGAATAAAGGTTTTAGTTTTTTCCTGTGGGTGCAGGGAGGAGAGCTGAGGAGAATGAAGGAGACAAGGCAGCCATCTGTCCGAAACACTGCCACTGCATTCATCCCAGCTGTCCTCAACGGCTTTGCCTCACATAAGACAGCAACTTGACAAACACTACTGATTAGACACCAGACACAAACATTATAAAAAAAGCCTGTCTTAAAAGAGAGATATGAGTGAATTGTTTACATTGGCATTGTCCCCTTAAAATAAAAGGGATTACATGAATGTGTTGTAACCGGTTTCCAAGAGGTAAATTATTTCAGCAACATTGCGAGGCAGCAGGATTTGCAAGATGTCAAAACCACAAGATAAATGCAAGTATCCATCTTGCCAGGCTTTAATCTATAGGGTTGTGGCTGGTACAGTGGTACCAAACCAATCATCTGTGGAATTCTCTGCCTCTAAATCTCTAGGACAGCAACATCAAATTGAAGTCTTTTTAGTGTTTCTTTTATGTAGAATCTGATATTAATACTTCCATTTTTGGATTATATACACTACTGGTCAATCTTAGAAGATTACAAATATATAAAAGATTACCGATTTAGCATCACACTCCTATAACATTGTCTGACTCACGGTGGACAGTTAAAAAGGATCAAAACTGATGCAGCAGAGATATCGTCTTTTTAATCGCACACATTCGTCTTCCTTGTCTAAACCTGGTGCCTACACATTACCCACAATAGCAGCTAACGTAGCCCCGAGCCCCGGGACTGTAACTCTAGAGTTCACTGACTGAGATTGGGGGCTGTGATGCTGATCCATGTCACCTTGTTAGGGTCCACAGTGATCTGCCAGGTGCAGCTCTTGCCGTTGTCATAGCTGTTGGGATAGTTCCAGCTGGTGAAGGTGCCTGACTCTTCAGACATCTCCTGAGGACCTCCACACCCTGAGTCTGCCCCTGAAAATGTATGATAAAGGAGGATGCTTGTTACTGTGTTACGTGTATTCAAGCAACATGAACCCTATTTTACAGTAAAAACTAGTTTCTAGCCTGCATGGACTAACTACTGCTCGTAATCCTCTCCTAAACCAAGTTTAAGAGACTACAGTCATGCAAGGGCTGTATTATGGTATGTCAGTAATTTGAGCCAAATGCTATGATCAGTGTGCTAACAGGCTCACAATGACAATGCTAACTTGCTTATGTTTAGCAGGTTTCATGGTCACCACCTTAATTTAGCGTATTAGTATGCTAACATTTGCTTATTATCAGACATACAGCCGATTTTGACCATTAACTAAAATACTGGACGTATTGGAATTTTGATCTGATTATGGTGCAACATGAGAAATTAAGGAATCACTAAATTATCCTGAAGCAAATTTTATGGAAATCCATCCTGTAGTCCTAATCCAAGCCACAACTGCCAACCTCATGGTAGGTGTTCCACAATGTAAATGAAAACTTTGACCTGCTGTTGGCGCTAGAGGAAAAAACAGGGGATCGTCTAGTCAGTTGGATTCATCCTCCGGGGACCATGAATATCTCTGCAAAATTTAACGGCAATCTACCCAAACGTTGTTGAGATTTTAGATTTTTCAATCTAGACCGAAGTAGTGAACTGACAAACCAACGTAGCCATCCAAAGAGCCAGAGCTAAAAACATTATTATAATCTTTATTTATTAATGTACAAACAACAACACTTCAGTTTCAGAGGGGTATTATAAGTATTTACCATCAAATTCAAATGATTTAAAACATCTTATTTTATTTGCAGTGAAAAAAAATCAATTGAGATGCCTTGGTAACAGCATTGATTATACAGTTTGTCATCATCAACAGTTGCAAGTATTTCCCCTCGTGGCTAGAGCAGCTTCTGTTTGGGAGTCTGGAGCACAGCTGTGTGTAACAACAAAAAACTGGAATGTATTTTGTCATTTAGGCAGAACATAACGGTCAACATAATCACATTGTTGTTGTTTTGTTATGTAAAACAAGCCATATTGTTTTTTGGGGGCAATGATCCCTTTAATGCATTTCATAAACATAGACTGCTATTTCATTTGTTGCAGTGATGAAGATCCAACACTGAAATAATGCATTAATAAATAATATAGAGCAAGTGACAGCAGTGCGCAAGTCATCTTGCATGTCCTATCTGCTAACACACTTGTCACAAAGACAGGTGTGCAGACTCTGAGGACTTGTAATGCTAAAAGCAAATAGGTTCAGCTCACATTAATTTCACCACTTTAGCCCTCTCATGCAAACCCAAATAATTCACCCACTTCAATTTCCAAAGAAAACAAGGCAGCAGAAATGGGTCTGGCTTGCAATGAAGAAGTTTTTTTGCCTGCATAAGACCAGAATAAATGATGGATTTCTTGAATCAAAAATAAAATTGGAAAGAGATGAAGAAGTAGAGGAGAAGGTAGTACTCAGTGTATTGTATTACAGTATTACAGTACAGAGGTCAGGCATATACTAGTAATAATACATAAAGATAATTGGAGGATAGGAATACATCTCACTGAGAAAATACTAAAAATGTGATTATTTGTCAGATATATCTGCTCAGCAGTTAGGAACAATCCCAACCCATAGAGCAAAATTATTCTTCACTGACAAGTTATTTCCCCAATTGATTTCTTGCCAAAAATCCAGTTCTCACATTTGTAACTGAAAAGGTTGGTGAAAGACAATTAAAGGACATGCCTTAAATCTATACTTTGAGCTAAATGCTAACGTCAGTATGCTAACATATTCACAGTTAACATGCTGATGTTAAACAGGTATAATGTTTATTCACAGAATCAGTTTAGCATGTAAGCGTGTTAATATTTGCTAATTAGCAATGACCACGTAATACAGCTGAGGTTGATGGGAATGACATTAGTTGCAGGTATTTGGTAATAAACTAATATTGCACATATATTGCACAATAACCATGGTCATTAGGATAAGCCCTTTAGGGACTATAAATGTCTGTTCAAAATGTCTTTGCGATAAACATTTTGTCATATTGAAATCATTTTTGTTGACAAATGGGATATACATTTGTAACAATGTGATTTGGGTAATTATTGCAGTTCAACATTTTGGACATTGCGTATTTTTGTATCCTATGGATGGACTTCCAAGAACTGATAAAGCTCTGCTGACCACATGTTTTATATCATTGGCAGACAGACATTTACTTGTTAGTATATGTTTTTGTGTAGAGATAAGAGTTTTTTAAGGTACAATATCACAGATTCATATGTAAAAAAAGAAACCTGGAGAAGATTTGTGTAATTTTGTATGTTGTTTTCAAGTCATCGTTTGCCACACAGACGAGTTAAGATAAATCACCTCCTGCAGTCAATACAATCGACAGTGAAGAACCATCTATCAAAAGAGACTACAGGTCCAATCTGACAACATGCTTTTCAGTCTTGCTCCGTCACTGATGCAGTGGCCTCAGGAAGCTCTCACTTTAGATTTTCTATTGACATTCTTCACTGTCGCTGTCTTGTCTCCTTGTATTTCCCGACAGCTATTGAAATGTCCACTACACAGTCTAAATACACAGGCATGAATGAGGCACCTCTAATAATAAAAACATTTTGTTGTGAATTGTTAACCATTATAATATTGTCATATAAGTGTCTTTTATTAATGTGATGTTAAGGATTATTGCTCTGCGTTTACTTTAAAAGGACTAAGTAAGTAGAAAGAGAGCAAATAAACACAAGAGATCAAAACAATCAGCACAATATCACAGCATATTTTTAAGCATTGTACCTCAGATACATGTTTGTATTAAAATATAACACAATGCATATTCCAAGTATACACACTCACCTTCTACATGAGTAGAAGAGTTAGCTTTGTCAGTGAAGTAGACGACTACAAGGCCGATGCAGGCCCCGGTCATGGCCACGAAAAGAAATATCAGACACTTTTCCAGGGTGCTCATACCCCTGGACCGACGATGACCCTTCTCCGCATCCATTTTTTATCACAGTGGTGAAGATGCACCAACCTGTGACCCGTCCACCAACTCACCAACTTATTACTAACACAATGAGGACCGGGGTATATCTGAACTTTTAAAGCTCAGATGAACCTTGAGCTCCTTCAGATGTGATATTGCAGCATTGTCAGCCTGAGAGGGCGGGATGAGACTGAGCCATAAATCATAATGACAAAGTTAATGAGTATTGATGGTGTTCGTATCAAGAGGTCATCAGGATATCTTTTAAGGAAACTGCTAGAAATAAAAGCCAAACCTCTCACCTGTGGCACAGAAAAGCTGGTTTTAGATTTTCACCGTGGTCAGTATTCATGAATCCTCTGAAATATGTCACAAGCTCTAATTATTCACACGGTAATTCACTCATCCACTTCTTTGACTTAACCTTTCAGCATTTCCAGGGTGCTGAAGAAATAAAGGGGAATAGGTTCAGCTGGGATAACCAAGGTGGACAGTAAAATCATGTGACAGTATTTTACAGGCTTTTTAATTAGTTTTTTTGTTAATCAAATTCGCATTTGTTTGGAAATTAAGTACTGTGTCCTTTATTCACTGTGCTCATTACAGTTGGGAGAAGCCAGAGTCTGCTCAGCTGCAAGCAGCAAATTCATTATCTTAAAAACTGATGACTGAATCTTTTATTTATAGCTCAGCGTGAAATTTATTGATAGTCAACAAATTTAAATCAGCAAATAGCCTTGACCAGAGATTGTTAGGGCCACGACACTGACTTTGTGTCCTCAGTATTTTTTTTTTCTTATTGGTTTAAGTAACCTGGGTGCAGGAGCCATGAATGAATTATCAAGAATTAATTTTGTTATTTAAGGTTTGTGATGGTTTATATATGTATATATATATATATATATATATATATATATAAACCATCACAGGCGGTGACACTCCACAGCA